CTTATTTTTGTTCCAAATTCCGTTACGTATTCCAAATTTGGAGACTGTGTCTTCAACCAATCAATAGATATGTGCATATAAAATCTAAATTTTTGGGAGGTACCTCCGATTCTGATGCAATATCTCCAGTTCCAAGCGGAAATTAAAAAATGTATATAGCCTATGTTACTTTCAGGCGGTGTTGCAGTATATATGGAAATTTTCAAGAAAATCTATTCAGCGGTTTTCGAGTCCATAAATTACAAACAAACAAACAAAAATACAAACATTTTCCTCTTTTATATATATATATATATATATATATATATATATATATATATATATATATATATAAATCTAGCGATATATACCGCCAAATTGTTGGATAAAATTTTTTTGGATGCCATAAAGAATAACTAAAAATTAGCTTTCAAGAGAAGGCGAAAGAATTAAATGGTGCTTTATCCCGCCGGATGCTCCTCACATTAAAGGAAAATGGGAAGCGGCAGTAAAATCTAGGGGATACCATCCAAAAAGAATTGTGAAGCAGACATACGAAGAATTAAGTTCAACACTAGCGCAAAGCGGTTCTAAATTCGAGACCATTGCACGGTTTACCAAACAGTTAAGTCAATATTAATACATTCACATCAAGACACATTTTAATTGAACTCCCATTACTAAAAACTCCAGAAAAGATTAAAGAAAAAAAAGTAGGATTGTATACACAGGTGGAACGTGTAAACGTAAAAACGTGGAAATTGGACAAGTTGTAATATTGAGAAACGATGAAACTCATCCAGCAAAGTTATAGGAGTTTATCCAGCGAAAATGTAAATAAAGGGGTAGTGTCACGGGAAACACAGAATGGTATGTTGAAAACGCCGGTAAATAAAACATGTCTCTCCGTTGAGGAACTAAACAAAAATACGGCTATATAAATGGAACCGATATTAAGAATTCATATGGCATCATCAGCATGGAATCTGGTTATTTATTTTGAAATTAAACAATATTTCCAAACATGACGAATAGATTGAGAATATCATGAAAAAAATGTTTTGCCAAGCAGCATGATTTGCAACTTATTAAAAAGAATGTCAGAAAAAGTCATTTTGCACTATTTTGAATTTATTCGTTCCTTATACATCCCTAGTCATCGCAGCGCAGACAACATGAACTCTTCAAAAAGACAATGCAACATGGATAGAAAAGGTAAACTTTAAATCGACTGTGATTTATGCTTAATAAATATTTTATGTGTTTTTGTATAAAGAAGACATAGCATGTACATTATCGAAATATTATGAATTATGAAATTGTGTTATGTATAGAATAAGTAGTCCAGAATGACTTTGTAGAGAAGTATGTAAGAATAGAATTGAATAAATTAGATCAATGTCTCACCAATATTTGAACAACACAGACACTATGTTGCCGCTTTTTGACAAGTTGCAAACATCCTGATGCATGTAAATAAATTTGTAACCCAGTCTGCCGAGCACTACCTTTTCTACAATTTTAAAATGGATGCATCTGAAATAATGAATTATGCCGATCTGATTCCGTGAATTGAAGCTAATAACCATTCCTGCGAGATATATTATCTTAAAAAATAAATGTCAATGTCATCCAACTAAGAATCCAGAATAATAACAAAAGATATATCAGACGTAAGTCGAATGTGTAATTTTTCAATCATGCCCTTAGGATCTATGGTGGTAAATCACTCAGCGAGATTTGTTGGTACTGACTTTTAATTAAAAACAGTCGATTCGTCTCATTTCAAATTAACGACAAACAACGGCGAATTATCAATGGTAATCGATTATATCTCCTGCGTTCCTGGCGGAACATTGTCTATATTATATATATTTTCCCTTCTTCCTAGACTTTTCATTTTACAACGAAAGTTTTTCAATTTGTATTTGATGTTGGCTATAGATGCCAATATAGCAGACAGCTATCTACATATGTTCTTATTTTTCTATAGCCCCCGAAATTCCGTATTGATCATCTTAGTCAATTTCCCAACTGTTTGTAATGGGTTCTACCTCATGCGACATGATATTGTATTCATAGGGTTTAAGTTAAAAACCTCTATTAGTGTTTTCCCTACAAATCTCCAGAGAGCCTTTGTTCACTTGGCTCGGATCAGAGAGATATTCTTTCCTTGTATATTCCTTACAAATCCTCCTTCGCTAAATGCAAATCGTAGGGTGATATCTTTTATTACCATACAAACCTTCTCGGAGACTAAGTTCGCTCAGCTCGGATCGTAGGGAGTACTCTCATGGTCGTGGGATTTCTCTGTAAACTCTCCCAGGAACTATGTTCCCTCAGTTCGAATCGTAGGGAGAATTTTTCCAATAAGCAATGACTGCCTCAGCCTTGAATAACTTCCAGCAGCTCACCATGTTTTATTGGTCGTTACAATCGCAACCTGTAAGCACGCGTCTCATCCATACAAGGTAAACTTCTTATGGACATTTTCCCCTCAATAAATCACACTTGTATTTATCTATATATATAAAAATCAATTGTTGTTCGTTGGTAATGGAATCAGTTGAGAACGGCTGGACCGATTTGCATAATTTTTTATACAAACGTTCGTGATACCCCGAGTTAGGTTTTTAAAGAAAAAAGTATTGACCACGCCTAATATTACGCCCACTATTTCGATTTATTTAATATCGGTTTAAAGATGATTACACGAGATGCTGTTGACTTCCCATCCAATCCTAAGTACTTATTTGGCGGCTGAAGAACTAACCACGCCTTCTTTTAATATATATATATATAAAAGAAAGTTGTGTTAGTTACTACTTTATAACTTAAGAACCGCTGGACTGATTTTAACGATACATACAAATTCGGAATTGTCTCTTGGCAGAAAAGGATAACATCCAAAAAAATCGCATACAAATTTGAAATTTGAACATTTTCATTTTAACGTTTGATATGTACAATCGTAATGTTTTATTTAGCATGATTTTTTTTCCATTTGACTTACTTTTTTCGAATGTACATTTGCAGTGTTTTTTATATTTTATTTCTGAATTCAAATATTAATACCAATCTGACGTGATTTCTTGAGAGCCGAAATTAAAGGAAAGTTACATTGAAGTATAGTACCGAATTATGTGGTGGTGAAATGGAATAGATGATATCGAAATAATTTAACGCGGTAAAACAAAGATAAAAGATAATTACTTTTTCAAAATCGCTAAAAAAAAATCACGAAAAAAGAGATCTTTTTGCAAAAATTATAAAATCGGGAAAAAATAGAGAAAAATCGAAAAAAAAAAAAATCAATGGAATCGAATTTTAAATTAATAGTGCATTCTATTCAAAGACCTTTAAACTTTTGCTGTAAAAACCCTTCGAACAAGTTGAATGACTTGGCGGATTTTGACAATTCATACAATTAAAATATGCCAATAAAAATGTAAATGAAAAAATCTTTTTGGTGTGATTTCTTTTTTTTCAATTTGACATACTATATATTTTCTATTTTGAATTCTGAATGAATTATATTAAAAATATAATGAGTGACCTACTTGGACCTACTTCTTTCATATGACAATAATCCGTCCAATGAGAACTCAAAATGCAAGATACCTTAAATCGCTTTTGCAGGTCATGATATATGACAGCCGGATAAGGGTACAATCCGATTTCAAGTATAGTTTACATTTTAAGCATATTTTGCATACTCATTTTGGCAAAACTTGGTAATTTGAGAAGAAACCAGCCTCGCAAAAAATGATCACGTTTTGGTATAATCATCACATGATTTAAACTAAATTTTCGTGGTCCTTGACATTTAATTTTTAGGCCTTTATTTGGCATCTTTGTTTCTAAGGGTGTAGAAAACCTCTTCTCATAAAATTGTCAATTTTCGGAGTATAGTCCATCTTGGTCTTGACCACATTCATCAATTGATTTGGCTAAAAAATTGTATTTTGGCTATTCTGGGGTAGGGAATCTTCTTACAGATAATTGTCCATATAGGCATTTATTTGAGAATAGATCCCACATTAGTGTACCTCCAAGTCTACTTTCCCAACCAATGTGTGGTCAAAAAGAAAATTTTGTATTCTATTGATCTAATGAATTTGTAACCCCCAAGAGAATATTGGTTGGGAACGTAGATGGGATGTACGTTTATATGACATAAGCTCCGAAATGAGACTCATTCTGTCGGAAATTTTGGCAGAAACATGGAAAAATCACAAAAATTAATTTCTTTGATCGTCATTGAATTATGCTATGATGAAAAATATGGACTTTATGGGGTCTCTAACGCACAATTTAAATAACAAAAATAAATAAATTACATTCTTACGGTAATGGGTGTAGAAGAGTAATTATCTTTGACTATTCTGAAATCATTATGCCCCTAATTGTGAGGTGGACAAAACTAAATACCACACAGCACGGTATTCTAAATACAAATCCCAAGTTACAGCTCATTTGAATGGAAAATGTTGCTAAGCTCTTTATAATACCAAAAATTGAGCTGAGTTTTCACACGGGGCTATTATAGATGTTCTATATCATATAGGTTTTTAATACTCAATTAAAGCCTATGGCTGAAAAATTAAGATCAGCCTTTTCATAATATTTAAAACCGATATAATTTTTGCCATGACTGTTTAGCTGACCCGGTCCGCCAGGTCAGTTAGTATTATTATAAAATCTTACACTCCGATGTTTTTCTTAATTTAATTCTTTATCGGTACCAAAAACGGTTTGTATCACCAAACACAACAACAACCCATTCGGTCTCATCTCATCATTACTGAGCTATCACACCAACACAAAAGGTCACGTTTTCCGAATACCCACATAAAATGATGCCGCCTTCAAATACTCGGTATTTTGACGATTTTAGCCAAAATTCGGAATTTCTATTTATCTGCGATGGGAGAACATTGTCTATAAAGGTCCATGTTTTTCTATACCCCCATATAAAGGTACATTCGACTACTCGTTATGTTGATGTTATTTGTTATTACCTTTCAAATAGTAAATATGTTCCCAATAGTTCCTGCGCATGACGTCTCAAATCCGAATTTTGTAACAAGTTGTTCAAGTTTTGAAGTTTGTCATTAATAGTATTGCAATCATCGGAACATTCTTCAATATCCATCTACAAATATAAAAAAAAATTGATCAATAGTATCTTTATATTACAATAAAAGATAAGAATGGTGGAAAATAAATAAGTAAACATAAGTCAGTAGTTTTAACCAACATACATATATGAACACTTAGATTATAATCAATTTTGGTTTAAAAAATATATATATTATTTTTGTTGAGCATTTATCTGTGATTACTAATTTAGCATAATCTTAATCGTAGTCCCTTATTATTTCACATTAATATGTCATTTGTTTTTGTTTTTAGGATGAGACATGGATCGAAAAAAGTTGATACATTATATTTCAAATTTAATTTAGTTAACACCTTAATTTCGATAAACTGATTTTTTGACCGAAAACCTTCTTTAGTCATAAGTCAATATTGATAGAAGGTATCGGACGAAGTGAGCAGATCCTGTTCTTCATTGAACCGGACTTTACATCAACAAATTCTAATACCTCCTTCGTCTCATTACGGGAAGATACCAGAGGTAGGTGCATAAACTACTACGAATATTCGGTCAGACCGTACTTTTAATAATAGAAAAATTGGATATAACTATTGAGAATAACAGAACCGAGATTCAGTAATTGTGCGAGTAAAAAACAGGGTTATGAAGTCGGAACCAAAGTCGTACAAATTGCAAAAAAACTGGTCTTCGCGCAACAATATTTGTTCTTTATTAGTTTTCCCGAAGTAAGGGTTTCCTTATCAACATGCACGGTTTCTTGTTGATTTATCATCTTAAGAGATAAAGGAGAAGTATAAATAATAACTAAAATATCCATATTAATATGTCCTAAAAGTCGGTTCAGGATCTTACAATTTAGATTTAAAAATAGCAATTCAGAGCGCTTTAAGTTCAACTTTGGAGTCGGAATCGGAATTGTACACTTGCTTGCAGAAAAAATAATTATAGAGAATATATAAAAAAATAAGTATAGAGAATATACATATCGCAAAGTGGACCAGATCAACCCATCTTCTTTAAAAATTTCTTTCGATTTCAAAGGATTTCTTTACTTTAAAAATTAAATGTTTATAACTAATTATTAAAACGTCAATACTATGTGTTGAGTCAATTATAAGAAATATTGGTACCCACCATGTAGTATAACGGTCATATCTCGACTAGCAAAGCTTACATAGCTAGCTAACGATTTTAAATTTGAATTGTTTAGCTACCTGTGAATTTTTTAGCTAGTTGCACATTTGCTACATTTTCAAGAATGGGAAAATGCCAAAAACATTAACCCAGTGCCGGCAGCAATTGTTGATGTTTTCACATGCCACGTGCCGTCGTATCCAGCAATTGCGTTCAAACAACCGCTGCCTCGCTTCTGCTACAAATAATACTCCTCAATATGAAGACCAGGATATTCAAACGGCTAACGCTTCCCAAAAAAGAGCTGAAGGAAGAACAAACGCGGTATGCCAGTGACATGCAAGGATGTACTGGACGTACACATTGTGGAAATCCTCGACCACATGGATGAGATCATACCAAGTGGTTCCATAGGGCTGATCGCAACACAGGTAAAGCAAAGCTGGAAACTCATCATAGGAAACCGACTTCGTCTACATCTAAGGAGTTAGGTTGCTACATATTAGAAAGTCTGCATCTAATTCAGCACCTAAGGGAAAGCAACAGTTAGCTGAACAGAGCAGCAATTCTCCACGCTACATACTTGGTAAAATGGAGCTGCTGGTTAAAAGATCATCGTTCTCAAGTGCTCGCTCTTATGTACGGAGACCGTCTGTAAAGAGAGTTTTATCGAAGGAGGAGACGCACCCCCTCTCCCAAGCTAATTTAAATAAGTATAGAGGAGAGATTAAATGCGCCAAGAATAATTCGTGGGTGAATTTCTGACAGACGATAGAGATATTTAACGCAGCAACCAGATTTCGCAAGGTACTGCCAAAGGATCCAAAGCCAATTGGCTGCATCAAGAAAAAATGGCATACTGATGGATTCAATCCAGTCTTGATGTTACGACACAAGCAAAATCAAAATGATGTAAGTAAATCAAAAATAACTACCGTTTTGTTTCACATTTTCAAACATCCGTTCTGAAAGACAAATTTCTAAATAATTTATTCTTCATTTTGCTTCTATTCAAAAATTATTATTGTAAAAATAAAATTCACAATAATTCAATTAATCACATCCGTTCGGAAAGACAAATTTCTAAATAATTTATTCTTCATTTTGCTTCTATTCAAAAATTATTATTGCAAAAATAAAATTCACAATAATTCAATTAATCACACTCCCATTTAAAAAATTTCCAGATAAATTTGCTAGTTACAAATTTCTTTGCAATAACTAAAATAATTTTTGCTCCAAAATTAACGACATACTTTTTCCAAGTTCCACATTAAAATTTCAAATTCAACCCAAACTTTTAAATTGCTATCATTGCACTCTGTTAACTTATTGATTTCTACTATATGTCGATTTTGCTAACTTATAATAAAATGTAAATTAAAGAATAAAGCGGTAAAGAAATCAGCAAATAAACTTATACGAAACCATACCAGCGATGTTACAAAATTGATCATCGCTTGTATGGAAGCGATATATAAAGTAAAGGGCTGCAAATGTGACAATTTTCTCTCTTTATGCTATGGAGAGAAAACGCTCGTCATGTTGTGTTCTGTTTGATCAAACGCATAACAGTACGTGGCATCCAACCAAATGCTCGGTGCCTCGTCATGTCGGTCACACTCAAACCCATCGTCATAACATGTAATGACCAATAAAAGGGTGTGTTGAATAGTGTGTCATACAAAAATGTTCTATCAAAAAACAACAACAATTATGAAACAATTGCCAACGAAAAAGACACACACGTGATGAAGGCAAAGCGCAATCGCTACCTGCTTTTCCGATATGTGAAAAAATAAATTTTTTGTAGTAAAGAATTTCTTGGCGAATACTAAAATATTAAAGGTACTTCTAATTGGTCCACACAAAATTTTCACATTTCGAGGTCATTGACGAAAAAATCTAAAATGTTTATCCTTATTAAAAAGCAATAATCTGATAATCCCTGAAAATGTTTCTCATTTTGATTATAATTTCATAAATGTTTGCCTCCGGTAGTGAGGTGTAAAAGAGAATGAGTGCGACTGTAATTCACGTAACAACACTATATACTTCCATTGTTCAATTCTGTGCAACTTATGTTATTGAATGAGAGTCAAATCTCTGCCCACAAACTTTAATTTTAAAAGAACACTATGTGTAGATAGAAAATAGACAAACAATATTTTCCCCTTTTTTATAATCAAAATTTTATGATAATCACCAATAAATTGGGATTATTCAGTATATATTTCATTTTTTCTATTCATTTGTTGATGTCTATGCACATTTTGTTATTGAACTCAATTTTATATGTACGCGGTGTTTGGTTACTTCAAAATTACAGCACACACAAAAACACACCCTCTCCGTCGAAAGTAACACACACACATTCTCTCAATTTAAGCACACGTACACAAATGACACACAATTTGACGACAACACGGTTCGATGTCATCGTTGACACCCTGCATTTATGGAGAATACCATGCAAATATTCGAATCAACCATGCCACGATCGAACCTTAGACAATGGCACACATGAATCAAAATGGGGGATGTTGTTGGTTGTCATTGCCTATCAAATACATAGCGCATGATTGAGTAAACAAAGTCAGTGTGTCGAAAAAAGCATAATTCATACAATTCGTCTTGTGCAGGCCTTTAATATAAAGCTTGTTTGTATCACTCATGTATGCCACGTCCATAGAGAGAGGTTACAGGTCACATTGCACCGAAAAACTATTGGTCTATAGTTTGTCCCACTATCTTAAACATGTCATGTAGACATGTTTACAGAATGAAAATGTAATTAAAATTAATATATATATATATCATACGAATGGTTGATAGGTAGTTAAAAAAGAGCGATGTTTTAAGAGCTATAGGAAAGTAAAAAAAGCTTAAATTTTAGAAAAATTAATTTTTGGTATGGTCCATAACTTGGCATACCCTTTCCAACATGCATAAAAGGGTTAAATCGCACGATCTGGTCCAATTGACCGGTCCCGAACGAGATTTCAAATCTTAGTCTTGTTCAAATTACATGTCATGCAAGTCAAGCTTTTGTATTTTCAGCAAAATAATTTGATATCATCTCACGCAGCACCAATGATGCCACCAACCAGCCACCAAACTGCGACTTTTTCTGGAAGCATTGGTATCTTTTAAAATGCTTCTGGCTTATCTTTACTACAAAATCTACAACTTAGCTTATTTCCGTACCATTACGTACTGATTATAAAATGGAAAAAGCGCGCGATAAACTTTCTTAACAGAGCACGCGTTTTGATAATGAAATTCAATGATTTGCGAGCGTTATTCGTTTGTAAGACTACTCATGGTGAGATGTTGATAACACTGGTACCAAAAATATAATAGATAAAAATCCAACCTTTGGACATGAAATTTCCCATAAAGCTGATTTTTGTTATGGAATATGAAAAGTTCATATTAATCACAAAACAAATAACAGAGTTAAATGTCGAATTTTCGATTTTTTTCATAAAAAAATATTGTAACAATTGTTATAGATCTAAAAATTCACTACAAAAATTACTATAACGATTTTCTTCCCATATACACTATACACAGTAATACGCATTTCCTCGCCAACTGGGAGGTAGTGTATTTGCGTGTTTTTTAATAGGATTTCCCCTATAGGCATACTCCATCAATTGTTTTGAAATTAAAAAAAAATAGTGAAACAAATTTTTTATTTATTTATTTGCTTGCTTGTTTTCTATACAACAAGATGAATATCTTATAATTACAGTGTAAATGTATATGTTATATTTGTTCCCAACGTATTTTAATCAGATTCATACTCGGGTCGGGTTCAACAGTCGGAACTTTCGTTGGAAGTTTATGAGTGAGTCCTTATTAAGATCACATGCATCTTTTTCTATGTCTTGAAC